CTGGGCTGGGTACACATGGAGCGCAGTGGTAGAGCACTCGCCTGGCATGCTTGCGGCCCTGGGTTCCCTCCCCAGCACAGCAAAATAGGATTCGGTTGCTATGCATTGTGTACATGTGTCAGCTCATCCCACGGCAATCTACACATATGTACCAACAGTGCATGTCCATAAAAAACTGAACAAAAAGAGGTGAGGAGGCCAATGCACAGCTGGGAAGAGGCTGAGCTAGGGTTCAAACATCCTCTGCTGGGTGGAAGAAGTCTGCCCAAGTCCCCTGGGCTTGTCCTGGGGGTAGGGGCTCCATGACTCAGTCTCCTCTTCTGTAAAGAAGGAGTAACATGTGAAGTGACAGTTGAAGGAACAGTGTCTGGGACCTTGTATGGCTCATTGGTGGGTGCTCAGCCCAACTCAAGGAGCTGCTGGGAGCAGCTCTGTGCCTGCATCTGGGACAATGACTTCCCCCTTTACTCAAGCCTGTGGGAGAAGGCGAAGACAGTTTTCCCATCCTTGTCTTGTTTATCCACCAAGTTCCCAGTGCGCCAGCTTAAACCAGCAGCTGTGACCACAGAAGGCTGCGACACTCTTCTAGAGGCCCTGTAGAGTCAGCTGTGATGGGTGAGAGTATGGTGCCCAAAAGAGGGTGTGTAGGAACTGGTGCAGAAGGGAAGGCTCTGTCCTGTTCCTGTGGCCAGCTCCATGCAAATGGAGCTCCTGACCCACTGGAGTCTGTCCAGAGGGACAAAGGATCCCAGGAAGAGAGGAAGGAACACTTGTTCACAAAGTGCCAAACAGCTACTAGAAATTGAGGCCCAGAGAGGACGTGACTCTTAGGACACTTCTCCTTCCCTCCCATCCCCCCCTTGGGGCGTGTCCATGGGGTGCCAGCACCTGCTCCCTCCCAGGAAGAGGCAGGTAAACAGCCCAGCCTAGTGGCTGGCACACAGGGGAGCTGGAGACCTTGGGTCCAGAAGCCCTACTCTGGGCTGAGTCTTCCCACCTTCAAGGCTATCACAGCCAATTCTTAAGGTGCTGCCCAGTCCCCTCCTCTGGCCTCCTGTCCTTAAGTCCCTCTGGAGCAGGCTCCATCCCTCCCACCTCCTGTGTTCCCTGGGACCTCAGTCTACAGACCTCCCCCTCCTCCAGGGGCACCTGATTCCACAGACCTCCCCCTCCTTTTCCCCGCTCCCTTCTGTTTGTTTCCCATGGGTTCATAAATGCATAAATGCAGCCAAGTCTCCCTCATCAAAAAGCACACACACAGATAAAGTAAAAATAAAAAACCCAGTACACACACACATACCCACCAGCAGAAAAATAAAAGCCAAATGTCACAGAGAGCAGACAAGGGCATTGCTAAGCTCAAACCAATCAATAAGCGCCATCCAAAGCTCCCAGATGCCCCCACTAGCTGACCCAGTGCGTTCACTTCTAGGGAACGCAGTGACTCACCCACCCACCGCCTGAGGAAATGCACAAGGCCCCATGCTTTTGCAGAGCCAAGGCCTCTGGGGTACAGCAGCTCCAGAATTAACAGGTTAGTTCCTTTCTAGGAAAAATGCAGCAGTGTGTACATTTACACAGAAATCCAATATACCATTATCTAAAAGAACCATATATATATATATATATATATATATATATATATATATAAACTAAAACCTTGGGTGCTCCCTGTCACTCACCACATGATGGCTTGTGCCACCCTGAACACTGCCTGCAAAAAGGCCATCACTAGTTGGCTGCTCAACCTGAGATCAGAACCTTAAGTCAAATGAACCTCTTTTCTTTCTAACTTAGTCTGTAGCATGGTTTTATTAGCAAAAGAAAACAGACTAAGACAGAGGTCTGGGATGCGACCCACAAATAAGCCTGCCTAACAAGTTTCCGAGAAGCCACTGCTGCTGGTCTCAGAACTTCACTTTGGGAATTTTTGCACGGCACCACAACCACCAAAACAATCGCTACTCCTGTGTGTGTGGAAACTCTCCCTGGCTCCTCCAGCTTGAAGGCAGACAGGTGTTCATTTTATAATCTTTAGTCCAGAGAAGCCAGGTAGGTGATCACATAACCAAAGCCATCAGAAATAGCTGATGAACGCCAAAGGATTTTCTTTGGCTCAGAGAAAGAAACTCAACCCTGAGAGAAGGAAGCCCAAGGAGCAGGACAGGAATAGGGATCTTTGTGAAAGAGCCCTTCCCAGTTTCAATCATCCATGTGATTGTTTGATCATTCACTTACTATTGTAGGCAATGGGCCAGTAATAGGGCTGGATGCTCCCAGGATATAATTAGAGGCTTGAAAATTAAAAAAAAAAAGGAGACCCAGTAACTAAATATGATGTAATTAGACGTAAGGATTGAAAAACAGTTTAAGCCAGGCACCAGTGGCTCACGCCTCTAATCCCAGCTACTCAGGAAGCAAATACTTCACAGGCAAATACTTTGAGAGACCCTATCTCGAAAAACCTTTCACAAAAATAGGACTGGTGGGAGTGGCTCAAGGTGAAGGCCCTGAGTTCAAGCCCCAGTGCTAAAAAAAAAAAGAAAGAAAGAAAAAGAAAAACACTTTTAAAATGATAGCCAGTTGCAGTGGCTCAAGCCTATAATCCTAGCTATTTGGGATGTGGAGATCAGGAGAATTTCGATTCGAGGCCAGTCCAAACAAAAAGCTCAAGAGACCCCATCTCAACTAATGAATGGCTGGGCACGGTGGTATGTGCTTATCATCCCAGATATGCAAGGAAACACAAATAGGAGGATTGAGGTCCAGGCTGGCTCAGGGAAAAACATGAGACCCTATCTCAGAAATAACCAATTGCAAAAAGGCCTGGGGACATGGCTTAAATGGTAGAGAGCACCTGCCTAGCAAGTGTGAAGCCAAGAGTTCTACTCTCCCACCCTGAAAAAAATTTTTAAATTTGAGAGATGAGGAAGCTTATGAAACCATGCAAATTGAAAATAATTATACAGATAAGCTATTCAAATACATAGAAAGTGGGTTTTGAACTCTGCATGCTTGCTAGGCAGGTACTTGACCACTCAAGTCATGCCTGCTAGCTCTTTTTTGCTCTTACTTTCCAGGTAGAAGCGTTTTTGCCCAGGGTCAGCCTCCAGCTGAGATCTTCCTATCTACTGCCTCCTTCCCCTCTAGCTGGAATCATAGATACACACCACCACACCCAACTTGTTGGTTGAGATGTAATCTCAACAACTTTTTGCTGGGGATGACCTCCAACCATGATTCTCCTGATTTCTGCCTTTGCAGTAGCTAGAATTAAGGCATGAGCCAGCTCACCAAGCCATATCAAAAAAAAAAAAAAAAAAAAAAAAGTCTGGCAAAGAAGGACAAATGTTGTATTGGATACTCAAGTGGTAGAATGGTACAAATCCCTGCGTTCAAAGGGGGGAGAATATTTAATAGTTTGCCCCAAGTGATGCAAACATGGAACTTGTTTATCTTTTTCCTATTTCACGTGTGAATTCATTCAAGCAGCATTTAGCAAGCACCTGGTAGGTGGCAGGCCAGGCGCTGGTGCTGGGATTCAGACCCAGGTGTCTTTTTTCCCAGGAGCTGGCCGGCCATCTGGAGGGCAGGACTGGTGAACTGAAGAAAGGCAGCGGTTGTGAACACACCCCAAGGGCAGCAGGGAGGAAGTGCATTCTAGGGCTTGGGTGGCTGCATGGGTGGTGTGGACATCCAGCTTTGGGGACCTGCATCCCCTGCAGCACTGGGACCCCAGTGGCCAGGTGGGTTTGGAAGTTGCTGGTTGCACTGATGTGGTAGGTGAAATCTGAAATTCCATACAAATCTCCAGAGAGCACTAATCCTGCCATACCCTGGGGTCCTGGCCCAACACACACCTGTAGGGACAGGGACCTGAGACATTGACAAATGTTTTGCAGAAAACAGAATGACCCCCCCACACACTCCCCTTGTATTTTGGCTTTTGATTTGGGATTCTAGCTGTTTAGAGACCCTAAAAAGGTTTGAAGCTGGGGATGGCTAGGGGTAGTATGGCAGGTGATGGGTCCTAGCCCAGTCTGGGCCCTGCTGTGTGACTGGTCAGGGTGGCTTCCACATTCTTTGGGAGGAGATGACAAAGTGGCAGGCTTTAGGCAGCTGTTGGAGCCACCTGACATACACCAGGTGTTCCTGCGGGTGTTTGATGAACGGTCAATCCCTCAGTGTTTGGGGGCAGTGTGCGGGAGCAGTGGGGTACAGGGGAGATAATTCTTAATCCTGTCAGAGCCCTAAATGACAGGTGAGGAAACTGAGGCCGGGTCCGCCTAGCAGTGAAGGGGCATGGGCTGTGGATCACATCTCCCAGCCGGAGCCTCTTCCAAGCACATCAGGGCTCCCACGTGGACCTCAATCTTTCCCATCTGGAGAAGAGGGAGGGCGAGAAGCTCGCGGGGGCGGGGGGGGAGGGAGGGGAGTCGTCTGCGATCCGGGAAGGGAGCGCCGAGGCCGGGGACTCTGCGCAGTCCCCGCGTCACCTAGAGTTCCCCTGCTGCGCACCTCCGTCCCAGCCTCGCCATCCCCACGGGCCCAGCGCCCACGCCCCGGCCTGCAGCCCTCGCTCCAGTCGGCCGCTCCCCATCGCTGTCCTGGTCGCACCCGCCGCGGCCTCCCCAGCCACTCCGCGTCCAAGGTCGCCGCGCAGGGCTGGGTGCAGCCCTCACCGGGATCCCGCTTGCGTCCCCCGTCCCACCGCGGACCTGACCCGGCGGGGACTGCCCGGGGCTCCTGGCGGGGCTCAACTTTGGGGCGCAGTTGGGGTGGAGACGGCAGCCGGGGGAGCACGGTGCAGGGTCTGTGCGCGCACAAATGTCGCCTTTGGAACAGGTGGCCCGGGCTGGAGAGGTGGCCGAGACCTCCCGCGCCTCTCAGCCCACCCCTGCCCCTTCCCTCTCGAGCCCCCCCCCCACCGCCCGGACCCCGAAGTCCCAGGGCCCCGGCCCGGACCCCCGCCTGCTACCCACTCGGCGCGGTCCCCGTACCTCGGGCTCCCGCGGTGGCGGCCAGCCGCAGAGTCCAGAGCCCCGCAGGCGGGAGCGCCGGCCCTGGGCGGGGTCAGGGCCGCCCCTCCCCGCCCCGCCCCGCCCTTCCCCGCGGGGCGCTGTCCCCACCCTCCACCCCTGCGCCGCCGGCTTCCCGCATCCCCTTCCACTCCCGGCCAGCGTCCTCGATGCTGCCCTCCTCCCCGCGGGACCTGAGTCATCACTTGCCCGCGGTCAACAGGTATGGAGCGCTGCCACTGCCTCCCTGTCGCCAGCCCTGGGGGTTTGCAAGTCCCCTTCCCACTGAACAGATGAGAAAACCGAGGCTGCGCGCGGTGAGGCCCCGCAGCATCGCATCGCATCGCGTCGCCGTCTGAACCCAGGTCCTCTTGATGCCACCGCCCAGAATCTATTGACCTCCCTCACCCCATGCTGTGACCGCACCAAGTGCTGGGCCTGCAGCGCCCCAGTCTCTCTCTCTCTCTCTCTCTCTCTCTCTCTCTCTCTCTCTCTCTCTCTCTCGGTCATCTGCCGAGCCCTCCCTTCTTTCTCTCCTCGCTCTCTTGCCTGGTGTCCTCGCCTCCCTCCTGCCCAGCCCAGGTTGCCAATCTCCGTGCGATCCCCGCACCGAGAACTGCCGGGCACCAGCAGGTACTGCTCTGAATGGCGGAATCAGAAGAAATTCCCACCAGAACCCACCCCATCACTGACACTTGCCTTCCCCCTGGACCAGGCTGAGCCCTCCCAGCAACTAGTCAAGTCCACCCTTTCCCCTTGTCCACAAGACCCCTCCAGCTGACAGCCACCCGCAGTTCTGCCCTCCCTGCCCCCTTCTCCTTCCCGGATCATTCCCATCAGGGCACAGGTGGTTATTTCTCCCATCTAAAACCTCAAACAAAACAAAATCCCCCCCAGCTCCCACAGCCTCCTTTCTCCGTCCTGTATAGCAAAAATCCTCAAAAGAATTGACCATACACAAGGTCTCCTGCCTCTCTTCTCCTATTCTGCCCTAAAATCCTTCCACATTCTTGCCATCCTCCCCCATCATTATCTGTTACCCATGGTACTAGATTCAAGGTCAAGTCTCAGTCCTTGTCTGACAGGACTTCCCAGCAGTGCTCCTCACTTGGTCCCTCTGTCTTTCTCTAAGGCACCCTTCCTCTCTTGGCTTCCTCCCTCCCTCCTGTCCCCTCTTCCCCATGCTGGCCCCCTTCCCCCCAACCCATAAAAGTTGGGATAGCCCAAGTTCTGTTCTTCAACTGTTGTCCTCACAATGCTCTTTACCCTGATGCTGTCACTCAGCCTCCCAAAGTCATATTCAGTCATACCAAGTGATGGTATTGGGAGGTGGTTAGGGCTGAGGGGGACCCTGCTAACTGGAATTAGCGTCCTTATGGGAGAGACCAGAGATGGGGTGTGGTGATACATGCCTGTAATCTCAGCTGCTCAGGAGGTGGGGACAGGAAGATTCCAAGTTCAAACCTAGCCAAGGCAAAGGTCTCAAAAACAAAAATAAAAGGGCTCATTGTTTTTGTACAAATCCCTTTGTACAATTAATTTACACTAATAAAAAAAGAATTACAAAAATTAAAAACAGAGAGATGTGAGCAGTCTCTTGGTGAGCCCTTATTTCTTCAGGCTCCAGGCTTGGGGTGCCCTTCTTCCCTGTGGCTGGACACCAAGAGATGGGGCGATGGGACAGGAGGGCTGGAGCCAGGCTGGGTGGACCCTGGCACCTGGCTGATCCTTCAAGGCCCTCTTGGTGGGCCAGGAACCAGGCTCAGCGGTATGGGGGATTTCTCTGTGTCCCCGCCCTATGAGTTCTGTGGACGGGTGGCATACAGTGAGCCTCAGGTGGCAGTGGGCCTTGTGCCCCAAGTCCTTGCAGGAGGGTGAGCCGGAGCTGGGGTAGGGAGCCACTGGAGGGGGCCTCCCCTGGGCCTGCACTGCCCACTCTGCAGCAGTGAAGCAGAAGTTGGAGCGAAGGCCTGAGGCGCCCCAGGACATGAAATCTCTGCAGAAAGAACTCAAACAATTTGCCCAGCTGCTGAAGCAGAAGGGGATGACCCTGGGATTCTCCCTGCCGATGTGGGGCTCAGCCTGGGGGTTCTCTTCGGAAAGGTGTTCAGCCATCTGCCGCTGAGGCTCTGCAAGCTAGCTCAGTTTCAAGATCGTGCGCCAGCGACGTCCCCTGCTGCAGACTTGGGCAGGGGAAGCCGGTGACAAGGAGACCCTTCAGGAGATCTGCAAAGCGGATCTTTGGGGCCCTCGTGGAGGCCCCACAGAGAAAGCTCCCGAGTGTGGAGAAGCGTGAGAGAAGCAACCCGAAAGCCACACAGCAGATCAGCCCCACGGCCCAGCAGCTCGGGCTGGAGAAGGACCCGGTCCAGTGCGGTTCTGGAAGCTGCGCCAGGAGGGCAAATGATCAGGATTTTGTGGCTGCAGGGTCTCCCTTCTCAGGGGGACCTGTATCCCTCCCTCTGGCCCCAGGGCCCCATTTTGGTACCCCAGGCTATGGGAGCCCTCATTTCACCACCCTGTCTCCTCGGTCCCTTTCCCTGAGGAGGAAGCCTTTCCCCGGTCTCTCTCCTCACCACTGCATTCAAATGGAAATGTCTGCCTTCCCAGGGATGGGGGCAGAGGAAAGGGGAGAAGCTAGGGAAAGCCTACCTGGAGTCTGTATCCAGGCTTTGGGGATTAAGTTCTTCATTCACTGAGGAAGGAATTGGAAACACAAAGGTGGGGGCAGGGTGTTTGGAGGGAAGGTTAAGTTCAGTGATGCTCTTAATTTGAATCCCCACATGGTTTATCACTTTGTTCTTAAATAAAGAAACCTAAAAAAAACGTAAACACAAAAGGGCTAGGGGTGTAACTTAAGTAGAGGCCCTGAGTTTAATCCCAAGTATCGAGGTGTGTGTGGGGAAACTGAGAAAACCTCCAGGCATGGTGGTGCATGCCTGTAATCCCAGTACTCACCAGGCTGAGGCAGGACAATTGGAAGATTGGAAGTTTGAAGTCAGCCTGGGCTACCTAGTGAGGGCCTGTCTCAAAAACATAAATAAATAAATAAACAAAATAGCAAAACCTCTTTCTCCCTCCTCCCACCATGTGGGGACCATCTGGCAGCCAGCAGGCCCTCACCAAACACTGACTCTACTAACAAGGTGAAACCAGCGTTTTCACTCTACAAACAGAACTAATGAACGTGGACCCTTTCCCCACTGGTGAGATTTGTTGTTGTGTGGTTGCAGTGCTGGGGACTGAACTCGGCCTCTGGCATGCTAGACACTCATTCTTCCACAGAGCTACCTCCCGAGCCCATGTGTGATATTCCTCAATCTTCTTTCCGGCATTGGCCTTTTCATTCCAATGAAAGTATTCTCAAAGGAAACTTTATATTACCACCCTAAAAAGAATAGAAGGCAGCAGTAAAAATGAAAATGACAGCTAGGCGTGGTGGCTCACATCTGTAATCCTGGCTACTTGGGAGGCAGAGATCAGGAGGATCGTGGTGTAAGGCTAGCACCAGCAAAAAGTTTGGGAGACCCCCATCTCAACCAATAAACAGCTGGGTGTGGTGGGGAGCATCTGTCATCCCAAATACATGGGAAGCATGTCCCGGCTGGCCAGGATATAAAAGTGAGACCATATCTGAAAAGTAATGAAATGACCCAAACATTGTATGCACATATGAATAAAAGAAATTAAAAAAAAAAGTAATGAAAGCAAAAAGGGCTGGGGGAATGGTTCAAGTGAGAAGCCCTGAATTAAAACCCCAGTATTACCAAGAGAAAAAAAAAAAAAAAGCCAGGTACTGGTGGCTCACACCTGTAATCCTGGCTACTTGGGAGTCTGAGATCAGGAGAATTTTAGTTCGAGGCCAGCCCAGGCAAATAGTTTGAGAGACTCATCTCCAAAATAACCAGAGCAAAATGGACTCTGAGCTGTGGTTCAAGTGGTAGAGCACCCGCTTTGCAAGCATGAAGTCCAAGTTCAAACCTCAGTCCCACCAAAAAAAAAAAAAAGAGAAGAAAAGAAAAGTAAGAAAATGAAACAATCCTGTAAAGCTTCAGTCTCGCCCTGAGGGAGCCCCTCTTTCCCTGTCCGTGTTAGAAGGTGGCCTCGCTGAGGGCTGAGGGGGGAGGTGTTAAATAAAGCAGGGGCTGAGGAGATGGCTTTCTCCTGGGGCTGTGCCCAGCCCCGCAGCTCCTCCTGGCTCTTCCCGGGAAACTCAGCCTTTTAGGAGCTTGTTTAATCTCCTGCCCTCTGAGCATACTTGTCACCCCCTTTTCATAGATGACACAGCCCAGGCCAGGATGGGAATTTGCCCAAGATCACAAAGCATGTAAAGGTCAGCAGAGATCGGATTGTCTACCTGGCCCCAAGCCCCCAGCACCTGGGAGGCCAAATACCTTGTAGTGTGAACTGGTCTGTTGGGGAAGTTCAAGTTGGGGCACGGAGGGAGAGGGTGGAGATGGGAGAACCACATGCCCGCTTTGCTCTGGCCTTAGCTCACCCACGTGTGAAAAGCACAGCCTGACCCACGCTGCCTTGGGTGCCCTGCACACCACAGCACCCCTTCCTGCTCACCTTCCCAGTTCACCCCTCTTCCTGTGCTCCCAGGGGTCCCCTCCCTCCCAAGGATAAGCAGGAGAGGTTTCCAGAGGAAGGGAAGAGACGGCTTGGGGCCTGTGGAAAAGGGGTTGTCTGCTCCCCTCCAGTGCGGATTCTCTGTGCCTCGAGTTCCTGTCCCTTGGGCAAACTAGATGACTCAGTATGGAGTCTGAAGCCCTTGGCCATTCCTGGTCCACCTACAACAAAGGAAGGACAAAGAGTGGCTTAATTAAGCTGGGTGTGGTGTGCACACCTGTAATTCCAGCACTTGAGAAGGGGAGGGAGTGGGATCTTGAATTTGAGGTCAGCCTGAGCTGTATAGCAGGACCCTATCTCAACTACTGTTTTGGGGCACAGTTTCACACTTGCCAAGCCCTTTCCTGGGTCACCTCTCACCGGAGGACTGAGGACTGAGGCAGGTGTGGCACC